CAACTAATGGGCTTACTATCACACTCCCACTTACTCTTCACATTCTCATGTGTTAGGCCTAATTACCATTATTTTACTATTTCTCTACAATTCTCACTAATTAAATAATTCCTTCAATAACCGACATAATTTCCTAACGTTAACTTAACGGTTCAACAATCTCACCCCGACTAACCCGACACATATAACATACATCAAATAATTTAAATTAAACCAATTACTCACAAAATCAAAAATAATAGATATCCTACTAAGATCATCTTACTCGACTTGTCATCAAGTTTTCTTCTCAACTGATCTGGTACGTGTCTATGTGCTATAGATCCAAACACTTTCAGATGACTCAAGCTAGGTCTAGCACCAGACCAATATTCTTCTGTCGTAATTTCTTCTAGCTTCTTTGTTGCACATCTGTTCAATATGTATGTTGTAGTCGACACAGCTTCACCCTAAAACTCTTTAGATAAATGATTGTCTTTAAACATACTTCTCATCATATTCATGATGGTTGGATGCTTTTACAATTTTATTTTGTTGTGGAGTGTAGGGTGGCACCACCTCATGCACAATCCCATCTTTCTCACATAACATGTTAAAGTCTTTCAACACATATTTTTCACCACCATCAGTTCTCAAAAGCTTGAGCTTTCGACCACTTTGTCTTTCGACCATAGACTTAAACTTGGCAAATACCTCGATCACTTCACTTTTCTTCTTAATCAGGTAAGTCCATAATTTTCGACTGAAATCATCTACGAATGTGACAAAGTATTTATTACCTCTAGTCGAATCCACCCAGATTAGTCCATATACATCAGAGTATATGATTTCAAGAATAGCCTTCGACTTGCTTCCTACATCCTTACTGAAGTTATTCTTGTGTTGCTTCTCCTGCACACATTACTCACATACCTCATTTAGAATGTCGATTTCTGGCAATCCTTAAACTATATTTATTCTTTTCAAATCTCTGATGTCTTGAAGTTGAGATGGCCTAGTTGATAATTCCATATCCATTCAACCCTGCTAGTTGCAGTCGCAAGGCACTTGTGTTTCATCACATTAAGTTTTTATCTTGAATGTTCTATTTTGGGACATAGGGGCCTTCAAGATTAACCTTTCTCTTGCGTCAACGACTCTCATCATCTTGTCTTTGATCGATATTTTATAATTCTTTTCGACCAACTGCCCTATACTGAGCAGATTTCTCTTCATGCCTAGTATGTATAACACATTGGAAATTATTTACCTCTTGCCATATTTCCTTGTAATCAGAATATCACCAATACCTTCAGCTGCTAGAGTATTGTTATTTACAAATTTCACCATGTTCTTTATCGAGGGATTTATGTTGACAAATGAATCTTTCCTCCCAGACATGTGTCATGAGCATCCTGAATCCAAGTACCATTGGTCCTTGAATCTCTTTTCATCTCGAGTTGTGGTCATTAGCATCATCTCTTCTTCTTCTTCTTCATATTTTGCAAATTTTGTATCACTTTCTTGATTCTTTTGTTTTTCTAGACAATCTCTAGAATAGTGACCATACTTTTGACAATTGAAATATTGAATGTGACTTTTGTCAGGTTTTCGACCACCACCTCTTCCTCTATCTCCAATACCACCTTTTTGGTTGCCTTGGTATGGGGGTCTTCTTTGATTCGATACAATTCCTTCATACTGGTCTTTTATACCAGTCGAATTATTGTAGCCTCCTCTACCTTTGTTTTCAGATCACTTTCCTTTTCCTTTTTTTTCTCTTGCTAACTGCGCCTGCAAAGCCACATTACTCTTTGACTTGCCTGCAGCTCTTTCATTCATTCTTTGTTCATAAGATTCAAGCGTCCCTTGAAGCTCTTCTTTTGTCAATTTCGAAAAATCTTTCAACTCCTCTTTGGCTACCACCATGTGGTTGAACTTCAAAGCCAATGACCTCAAGATCTTTGCCACAATCGATCTTGTTGTCAATACTTTGCCACATACCTTGATTTGATTCACTAGTTTCGTAACCCTAGCGAAGAAAACAGTTATGCTTTCATTTTCTTCCATCTGAAGCAATTCATACATTCTTTTGTGAGTTTGTAACCTCACCTCTTTTACCTTTTCTGCACCTCTAAATTTTTTTTACAGAACTTCTCAAGCGTCTTTCGTAGATTCTACATCACTAACCTTTTCAAAATTTTCTAGACTCAAACATTGATGAATTATAAAGAGAGCTTTATAATTCTTCTTCTTCGATTCTTTGTGTGTTGCCTCTTCTTCGTCTGTTGCTTCTTCTGCAAGCGGCTCTAATCCTTCTTTCACAAGATCCCAAAGATCTCGACAACAGAACACAATTTTCATCTGCTTGCACTAATTCTCATAGTTATCAACTTTAAGAATTGGAAGACTTGCTGGAAAATATTCGTTTGAATGATTCATTGTCATCGTAATTTTCTTCTCTTGAATCGCTTAACTGGAGCTCTAGATACCAGATGTTAGAAATCCACCAAAATCTATGGAGAATTTCTATCAATCTTGATTAACAAGATAGTTATCGATACACAATAACAATGAATAATTGAGGAAGAAATAAAATTATAGTTTACGAAAATAAGGGGAGAAAGAAGATTATATTATGCAGAGTAACTATCTGCCCACAAACTGTGGAAAATCTCTATTCACTTTGCAACTACAAAATTCTATGAGTTCAAGTTGTTTTTAATAATAGGGGTTACTCCCTTTATCTATAGTTTTAGTTTAGTTTTCTACCTAAACCAAAGTCTAAAACACAAAAGTCCAAAATACTTATTTTTGATCTAAGTCGAAATCATATCTCGAGACTATCTCCTTCGACACTTCAACACACACAACTCGACACATTTACAAACTAATTCGACACACCCTTGTGTCGAACAACATACTACTTCGACATAGCATGATATTTACTAATGGCGTTAACGTAGGTCATGGGACTATTTTGGTTTATTTGATTTTCATTCTCTAATTTATAATTTTTTTATTACAATTTATTATAGTTGTTTAAATCAGTTTACTATCTCAATTATAACAATTTATTATAGTTGTTTAAATCAGTTTATTATCTCAATTATAAGTTTTTAAGTAAATAAAATTATTATAACACTTTATTTTTTATAAAAAATAAAATTTTATTATGATCATTATAAATTATTGTTAATTAAAATTTAAAATTAATATTTAATTTTTAAATTTTAAGATGTTTCTAAATTAAGATACAGTTTTTTTAAAAATATATACAAAATTTTGTTAGCTTAAAAATAATAAATTTTCAATTAGTTGGGTAGAATCTTTCAATTAATCTTATCAAATGAGTTAAATAATAACGTGAACATGAAATTATTGATCAAAATATTGAATATTAATGAGAATATAAAATTACTTATCAAAATATTGAGTATTAACGGGAACATGAAATTATTGATCAAAATATCAAATATTAACAGGAATTAAATATTAATGAAAACATAAGTTATTGATCAAAATATTGAATATTAATATAAATATGAAGTTACTTATCAAAATATTGAATATTAATAAAAACATGAAATTGCTGATCAAATTATTGAATATTAACGAAAAAATGAAATTACTGATCAAAATATTAAATATTAACGAAAATATGAAATTACTAATCAAAATATTGAATATTAACTGAACATGAAATTATTCATCAAAATATTAAATATTAACGAAAATATAAAATTATTGATTAAAATATTGAATATTAACGAAAACATAAAATTACTGAACAAAATATTTTTCCGTTAATTATACATTTAATTATTTTTTTTAATAACCATTAAAAATAATAACATTATAACATACACACCGATACTCATGCGAACGCACAAATATCTCACTAAATTATACCCACCGTTCCTAAATATTTCACTTTTACTATAGTCAGATAAAGTTATCGCCTATGAACCTCAAAGTCAAATGCATAAAAATTAATCTCATGACACTTTTTTGTATTCTTTTTTTTATTAATGTGTTAACTAATAATGTGAGAGTAAGATAAAAAAAAATAATGTCAACATTTTATTCTATATAAAATATCCCAATTCATTAAACTGCAATCAAGATTCATTTGGACATTCTATTCTCTGAACTACTTAGTTAAAGGCAAAAATGTATAAAAGCAAAATACCATTTAAATAACAAAACATAAGCATGTCAGCCACAAAACAGAGATCAAAATTAAAATTCTGATTATTAAACATCAGCCTTGTAGAACTAAACCAGTATTGTCAATGGCAGGTTGGAGAACTAAACCAGTCTTGTAGAACTATAATTTTTTGACAGCCGCCATGGACAAGTGGCCGGTTTTTAGACAACCGCAATTTACCAACACAACTATAAACACAATCTTTTCAGCAATTAACTTCAACACTCGGAATGCCCCGCTTTAGACATACACCCGTAATTTTGTTATTGACTGAATTTTTACTACTCGTTCAAACTCGGCCAAAGTAACTACAAGTTACAAAACTTATTTTTTGAAATTTATGCAAGATGATATACACACAGCAAAACATATATAAGCAAGACGATACCTATCAACAAAACATGCTAGCAATAATGCAAAACAGATGTAAGCTAATTTAATCTTAATCAACATCATGAAGACTTCCTAACTGGGAAAAAATAAATACATAAATCAGCTCTTTATCTATTAATCAGATTTATTAGATTAAAATAGTCTATGAAAAGAAAAATTTAATGCTTGTACGTTCTTCATACTTAAAATATATTATTCAGATTTCACAATTTCAAATCCTTTCTTCACAAAGAACACTCTGAGTAAGTGGTCATGAATGAGAGCAAGTTTTATTTTTCTTTTTTGAATCGAATGTGACATGTTACTATCATTGATTACTAGTCTAATCCAGTTTACAATCTACCTTAGTCCTAGTAAAATCATAAATAGAACCTTTCTGCTCATTTATACAAAACTCAAATGTTGAAAACTACTAATCCTAATCATCATCACCTCCATAACCCATGTCAGCATCAGCATCTCCATAATCATTGTCCTCGGGTTGCCCTTGATCAATCTGTTGTGCATAATTGTCAATTGGCAGATCGTTGTTTACTACATCATATGTTGCCTGAGGTGGTTTATCCGCCCTTGCTTTCATAGATGTAAGATTTCCATCACTTAAGAATGAAGTATATGGTTTAGAAACCTGCATAAGGAAATTATTAAGTCATTGTTTGCTTGGTTTCTATGTTGAAAAGTGATTTTGATTGAAAGAAAATTGAATATAAAGTTTTTTATACATAGATATATTCAATTAAAAATTAAATTGAATGAGAAATTTGAGGTTAAAAATCATGTGTAGAGAACGAGAAATTTTAAAAATCATGTGTAGAGGCTAAAAATCAAAATCTTATCTTCAAGTTAGAATCTATTAGAGGCAAAATCAAATCAAACCTACTCGAGAATATCTAAACATGTCAAACTCAGCTTTATATTTCTAGAATCACTTTTTACCTCACAAAAGTGAATCTAAACATGCCTTTAGTATTTAACATCAAGTATGAGGTGCGAAATATTTTGGGTTGGTATCAAATTAGACAGATTCAGATTTACCTGAAACTTAAAAATATCTAAACATTCTAAAGCATACGGATTTGATCAGAGTGACTCGATTAAAATTTTAACGCATTGAATTTTACTGCATTGTTGTTACTTGTTAGCATGTTGGAAGACATGTAAATGAATTATCAGAAAATTTACTTTGAATAAACAGTTCCTTTTCTCTGCACTTTCCACAAGCTTGTTCCATTGTACACTCCTCCTCAATGTTGAGCCAGACCCAACCACCTACAATAAAACAACAAAATTGCATATCCTGTCATGGTTAAGATAAGAAATGAAGTCGTTGAAAGAATCGTGTTAGCCCCAAAATGATACAGTACCAACACTGCAGACTTCGCTCTAGTGATCCCAACATTCATTCGGCGGATGTCTTCCAGAAACCCTATACCTCTATCTTTGCTTGCTCTGACACATGAAAATATGGCGACGTCTTTTTCACGTCCCTGAAAAAAAATGAGTACACTTTAGTCCCAAGTTTCATGAGTTAACCATGTAATTGTAAGAAGGACATTAGAGAAGGAAGAAGCCCAAGTAATTGCAATCCTGACAACTATTTGAGATGAAATAAATATTATAAGTACACAAATTCGATTAGCCGCGACTAATTCTTCCAACTTCCTAAGTTTTTATAATATAATCTTGGGAAAACTGTGTAACAAGGTCCATTTATTTTGCAGTGGAACAATGAAAAAAGTGGTTTGAATGAATGGCTCTAGCTTTGAGTAGTTTCTTCTATGTGAAAGGTTAGATATCTGTTTTCTTGACACTATTATAGGAATAATACCAGTTGGTTCCACTATCACATTACCAATCATCTTCAGCCTGGAGATATTGATGTAATGGAAACAAAAGGCACACATAGTTCACGCAAATAGGAGTAGTATATTAACTTGAGGGAGGTTGATCCACACTGGCCCTATCTAAGAAAATCTTTAGATTCGAATCTGACAAGCTCAACTGCAATTGAAGTCTATCCCTTCAATTCAACAGTTCAACTTTGTGCCAAAAACCTCAAAGAAGGTGTCCCATTCCCATTCCCCATTGATAAGTCCTCAAAAGGAGGCATAGGCGATAGAGGGTCCGCAATCGACCCTGTCATTTCTAGTCCCCAGGTCGTTCTTAGCTCACGTCATAACGTCGATGCTATTGAACCGTGAATCAAGTTACTTACTAATGCATAAATCATATCAAGACTTCCAATTGAAATTACTAAATTTAGGACTATTTGCACTCTGTTTCATTCGATACCCTGCACTCAACCTTGTTTAATTTATAATAAATACTACTCCCTCCATTCTCTTTTATAAGAAAATTTTAAATTTTTAGATTAATTTAATAATTAATGTATCTAACTTATATATAGTCTAAATACATTATTTATTCAATGAATCAAAAAAGTCAAAATTTTCTTATAAAAGAGAATGGAGGGAGTATATACTAAAACTCCTATATATGCATACTGAATACTAAAACTCATATATATGCATATAAATTCATATAAATGCATATAAAAAAGAATTAGAGCCTTAAATTTAAAACCTTAAATCACTAGAAGTACTTGTGTGAATTTAAATTCTTAAGCATAGCTCACGAGTAAGATAATTAAAGCCTTAAATCACACACTTCAAATACTGATAATTTAAATTCATTCATAAGCATAATCGTGGAAACATTTCAAAGATTGTAGATTATACGATTCTATGATTAACAGGGTAGATTCCATCTGATTCAACCATATAAATAATATTAAGCAAGTTTACCTGACAACCATCAACAGTACATATATCCACTACTTTCTCAGCTGACACACCAAAAGTCTCTTCAAAACGTTGTTGGAAGAGCTTGACTTGTTGACTGTAAGGTGATATAATTGCAACTTGGTTGCCTGACTTGAGCCCCGGATAAAGTGTTACCAATTTTTTATACAAGAGTAGGACAAAATCAACTTCCGCAACATTTATCCATGAACCACTCCCAGTTGGTTTAGATTCTTCTCCCTCGTGTATGTCAAAGAAGGAGAATGGGCCAAAGCAGCGGTACTCGTGCCAGTCACGTACTGTCTGTAATTTGACGCCGTCCCCATCTTCCAATGAGTTTTCATAAAACTCCTCAGAGGGAAAGCTTCTTATCTGTTTGATCATGATATAATAAAAGCCCCATATGAAGTGTCAGGAAATATAAATAGATGGAGAAAACACAGAACGAAGATGAAAGTGAGTAATACATAGCAACATAGAGACGGACAAGATCTAAAGAAAAATTATAAAGGATTAAATTTTAGATACTCAAGATCCCTAGTCTTAATGAGATTGGTATAATCCCTATTATTCCCATTGATGCAATTTAAGAAACTCAATTATACCGGCTACTGTTTGATTGATTATGCGATTGAAATCAAATCCTAGGCAAAATACCTAAGGAACACTAGATGTGAAGCCTTGAATATTTCTCTAGGTGTTCCATTTGTAATATGTATGCTTCAATTTAAAACATACTCTCAAACTTCTATTTTTCAAATATTTCCTTCGATTGCGGAAGTTCCAGACTGCACATCATCAAAATCAATTCCTTCTAAACCCAAAATGCAATTTTACTCAAATTTTGCTAAATTCGTCAAACTTTTAGACCCAATCTATACAAATCACTCACAGTAACAGAGTCAATTCAGTCCCTCTTTTCACCCAGCTATCGTTGAGGAACTTCTTTTACACAAATATAACCTTCAATCCATCAAGGTACCGCACTTATCCTTGACATGAACATAACCTTAAAACTCCAACCTACATTTTCACTTACTGTCCTACGTCTCCAAGTAGGCTACTATAACCAACAAACCTAACGATTCTAGGCTATGGCATAGTGTCGGCATTCTTCATCTGAATCTATGCCCATTACGGTTTAAGCAGCTACAATTTTGTAATTGAAGGCTGTCTAGTCCTCTTACTGTAATTAAATTGGATGCCCATAATAAGACATCAAATCATTTTAGGTTAATAGTGTACCGTAGCTAAAATATGTATCATAAAACCGAAGTTTTATGATGCATATTTTAGGCATGCAGATTAACAGTATCTTCAAGAACAAGGTTTTAGAATATTGCAGATAATTGTTACAGTTTAGTCTACCCAAAGGACAAGAATAATTTCTAAACATAAGTACAGACCTCAGGATGCATTCGATATTGTGTCTTCAGCATTTTAATGGGATAACCAGCATGCTTCAGTCTTTCAAATAAGCTTGTGCCATATCTTAAGTTCATGAAACATAAAAGACACCAAATTCAGGTCTTTAGAAAAGATTGGGCTAATGCATCAAATCAATACAACTACCCCAACATAATTGCTTACCCATGATTCTTAGCAATGTCTGAAATTACAGTTGCTGGAAGTTGAGCTGGATCACCAACCTTAGAAAGTAGCAAGAAAACAATGGTAAGAACATTTGCCCAAAATGATTTTCAAAGTGTTAATTTACAAGGTTCAGTTATAGTTGTGGTTGCACAATAATATTTCCATTTGGCAGGCCTTGTTTAAACAATTAGTGAACATGAATTTCTTCTATATACTATTTCACATCTTTTAGATTAAGGGTTATGGTGGATAATAATTCACTTTCTTAAGATAAGTTTTCAAAAGGTATTTCTTCCTTTGAAATCTGTACTGCATAAATAAAACAAACATGAAAAACTGGGCATATTTAGACATAACTGCAACTTAAATATTATAATACATAAAATAGTGCAGAGTTCTATAATGAAAGGAGGAGCAATTGAAAATACCAGAAAAACTTTTTTGCACTGATTGGCCAAGGGAACAAGAGTTGCAGGTTCCACCTGTATAGAAGTAACGTGTCATCTAAAAAGATAAAGTAAATCAAAAGAATAGGCAACATTGGTTATCCTTTCATATTGACAGTCATTAATCTACTCATTACTGATAGTAACCCGTTAACAAAATAACTAGGAGGAACCGTAAACAAGCAAGTGTATTATGTCCTATCATTTTCAAAACAATCTAACAGGTGATTCAACAATTAAACTGAAGAAGATTTCACTCTTACAGCTTGTGCGGCTTCATCTATAATCACTACATCAAAGTTCCGACTAAGTTTACTGAAAAGATGTGAACCACTAAAGCTGAGAGTGGAAAAGACCTGCCAAAATCAAAGAAAATAATGAGAAGATCACATTTCTTTTATCATTATCTTTTGAATTCAACTTAAATTTTAAAACACATACAATTGTAGCCTCATCCAGTATTGCAACCCTGATACTGTCTTCATTGCTTCCTGCAGAAGCATTACTCTGCTTATCAGTGGATGATTTGTTAACACTGGCGCGTTTTTTTTTCACCTGCAAGTCAAATTTTAAACATCAAAGTTTGGTCCCTAATTACATTTGTAAGACATTGGATGGAGACATGCTCCTCAGATGAAGAAGAAATGATAGAAGAAACGTGATCCGAAATCTGAGAGAGAGCATGCTCCTCTTCTTAATCTAACCAAAAAACCATATGTCAATTTCTTAGATACTCAGCATAGACAGTTGACAATAAGCAAGATGGAAATGGCGAGAATTGCTACAGTTATCTGTAATGAAACAAAACTTTCAAAGATGCCTGCAACACATTCACCTTTTCATCTAACATTCAAATCTAAGATTATCTAGAAGTGCTTCATGATTTAATAGTTAAGCTTCCTTCATGACTGGCCATGCATGACCACGGTATCATAACATTTTAAAAAAGTAGAGATGCAGAAGACTAAATAATAATCACAATAATGGCATAGCTAATTTAAGATATATTTGGTTTAATCTGAATCATCAACTTACAAGTTCGTCCAGGGAAACAGCCTTGATAGAATGGTGTGCTTTGAGACCAATCCTAACAATTTTTGGGCAATAAGATCGGTCATTTTCATCGTGGATACCTACAAACATCCATGAGCAATAATTGAAAACTAAATATACAATCATAATAAATATGCATTCATAATAAATATGCACATACAGGAAACTGACAAAAAATGTAAAATACAAATGAAGAAAAATTAGAATTACAAGTTTTGTCCACAGTCTGCCTATAACACAGCATAATTAATTAACATCAAAATGCATTCTGTTTTCTTTGCTTTTAAAATATATCATCATTTCTTTTGTGCAACTCTCAGAACTTTCGGCATTACATTTCAATGTAGAATTACTTTCAGTTGAATAACTGTCAAAGACTAGGTGCTATTTGAACAGTAGCATTGCCAACTCGTGCAAGTGAATGTAGGATAAAAGCATAACATTTTCCACTTAATAAAAGCATTGACATAAAACAAGATATTATGTGAGAAGAAGAAACTGAACTTAAGAGTGGCTATTGTTGCTTCATATAAAAAGATAACAAGAAACTCAAATGACAATTCATACCTCCACTGAGAACCCGCAACACAATCTCATCAAGTGCAGAATTTGATGGGGCACATACTAGAACTCTTACACGATATTTACGAGTTGAAGTAATAGCTTCAGGTTTCTGATCAAACTCGTGATAATTAGACATTATTCTGTAAAACCAAGAAACTTAACTGATGAAAAGTACTTACTAATTCATTTCCAGTAGTTGGGAAAAAACCATCATCCCCGTCTTTGGGCATGAGACTGTCCCTTGGATTGATGCTATGTAACCATGGAGACGCCAATTTCCAATGTCTATGTCTGCCAAGAGAAAATGCAGTAGATATTTACATTAAATAGATTATTATGTAAATATAAGAATAGCATATTCTTTGTGTTCTAGCATATTCTATTGTAACTATTGTTGTAGACTGTGCATTTTGGTTCTTAGCCTATATAATGAAACCTCCGTAGTGTAGTTGACACACACGGTTTTATGCATATGCCTCTCGTCGTTCTTATTTTCTCTCTTTGAACAATCGATATATGTTGGTTAATCAAGAAATTCACCAACTATTATAAGATTATTTGTGCAACATCATCTAACAAATACAAAGATGAAAGAGAAGGGCAGTTTGAAACCATCCATTGTGAAAAGAGAAGGGCAGTTTGATAGCATCCTCCATAGAATACAAATTATTTTAAAAATGTCTCAAAATGGAAATTAAAAGAACAATGCTTTCTGAAATTAAAATCACACGAGAAAACCAAAATCCATGAAAGCTAAGTTTTCTTGAGTAAATAAAGTGCAGATAAAACAAAACTTACTGCTCCTCAATAGGTAATTGCAGCCCTTGCTTTAGCTCATAGGTACCACTCCTAAAAGTAAATAGAAATAATATATCATAAAGAAATATAAGGCAAAGATCTGAGCGTATGACACTAATGTACATATGGCATGCTTTATACAGGAGAAAACTGCTTCAAATTTTCACCTCTACTAGAAATGCTCTTAAGATAACATCTAGCTCAAGACAAGAAAACAATGGAAGCCAGAAGCAGAATTATAAGTCGTAAAAGACTAATGAAATATATAGATATTATACTTACTTTGAATGTACTCTTGTGGGAGTAGCATGTAAGATGGTACTTAGAATCCCAAGTATGGTCTGAGTCTTCCCAGTACCCGGAGGCCCCTAAAATGAGTTGGTTAGATTCAATTATTAGTTTTTTGAAAAGGGTGACATTGATAAATGAAGACAGAAGCCTTACAAATATCATGCAAAAGTATTAAAAGAATTTCACTGCAGAAGCAAGGCACACAAAGACAAACCTGTATCAGGACAAAGGCTTTTGAGGATAGACCAGCCTGCAACATGAAAATAAAAAAAGTTACTGAGGAATAAATAAATGCAAGAAAGTCTGCCTTTAAAAGTGACAAGTGCCAGTGAAATTTTGAACATTTAGTTACAGAAGAAAGAAAACAGGTGACAAGAAACATGTTGAAAGTATAGGCAAAATTTGAAAAGGAATAATACAAGACTATGATTATTTATTCTCGTTAATGCACATAAAATTTGACAATATGCTATCTTAATTAATCTCCAGGCACTCCAGTTTAGTGTTTCCAAACAATATAAAGTTACTAACAATGACACAACGGAACAACCCAGCATTGCTTTGAAAAATACAAATAAAAACAAATGTTACACGTTTTATTTAATGCATTCAACTTCTAGAGTAAAAAACTTACTGTTATAGCCTGACGTTGATATTGATTGAATCTACCTTCAACATAATCCTTCAAAGCTGATGGGATTTTCCATCCCTCGGTTTCTGTACCAAAATCCTCTCCAGCGGCATTTAATATTAAATCCTTGAAAGGGAGAATGCTTATCGTTTGTATAGCCACATACTCGCGAGCAATGGTAGATAAATTGCACAACTGCAAAATCATAAGATTATTTTCTGATAAGATAACACATCTAGTGTGGGACTCTTAACACACTGCATTAACGTCCCGGATGGACATCTGGAGCCGACCGTGACCCAAGTGGCTCGATAGAGGAAAACCGATACCATCCATTTTGATGGCTTGTAAAGTGAGGGGTGTTCGTTAGAGGAAAACTGATATCATCCCTTTTAATGGCTTGTAAAGTGAGGGTATTAGATAGAGGAAAATTGATGTTCAAACCATCTCTAATTTAATGTTCTTAACACAAACACTTGAAAAATGCTAATGCTAAATTTATGGGGAGGATTTCCTATTCCACCCCATAGGTTTGAAAAATACCCTATGCAATTCTGAAAATGCCCCCGGAAAACCGGAAATGCATTTCCGGTTCCTAGTTTTATAAATAGAAGCAACAAGCTTTTTTGGTCAACTGCCATGGAGCAAAATATCTTAACTTATTACTTTTCCAATGGTAAGAAATGAGTGAACCATGAAAAAGGTTAAGTATTAATTAAAGTAGAAAATTAGCCCATGATGTATACAACAAGTCAAAAATATTTTCAGCTGTTTGTTCTTTGAGTTTAGGTTTGAAAATTCATGACAAGGCAAATGAAGAAAATAAAATCGAAAGCAGAATTTTTTTTCAATGGAAGGTACAGCTTTTACTCATTAATGCATTGAATGCTGTGATTTCAAATTTCAAATAAAAACATTCCATTTGATAACTAGTGAAAATTATAGTAAATTTCTACATATTTAATTATACAACCAAGGATCATATCAATTAAGGTCTCCAGCATTCTGAACTAATTATCCTTAAAAGTGCAAAGTAATTTTCTGAATATATAAAACCAGGAACCGGAAATGCATTTCCGGAATAAATTAAGTTCTAAAATAGGGTGTATCTCAAAAAGGAAAAAATTGTATGTGTGTGGGTGCGTCCCGGAAATGCATTTCCGGTTTTTAAGAGCATTTTTGGAATTTCACATGGTGCGCTTGAAAAGCATGGGGTGGGTTAAGAAATCCCCAAATTTATTCTGACAAGATTTCAGGGGGGGGGAAAGAATGGTTGCAGAATGTTTGGGCAGAAAGAGGTTGCCACATTTCCTAGGTCAGAGCATACCACATGCCTCAACAAGAACTTACGACAGTACCAATTGAGAAACAATCGAATATTTTATAAATCCTGAGAGAGTACTACAAATATAATACTTCATTCCTCTAGCAAAAATACAATACAAGATAAAGCAAGTTACCTTCATAAAATACAATTGCCTCTCTGTCTCACATATATAAGACCGCATATTGAACAGCCTTGGAGAAGATTTCACCTTATTTGTATTATAATGTGAGAATTCTCCAGCTAGATAGAGTCTGACTCGAACAAGTTTTGCTTCAGAAAATTTTCGCACGTTTTCCACCAAAGCAAATGCGTGTGTAGTTTTGTCATCCACATACTTCCCAGTAGGTAAAATGGGAAAAAAATGTCAGTTTAAGTTGGTGAAATATTCAAACAATCCAAAAGACAACAGAACAGAAATAAGACACATAGAAGTGCAAAATCTAGTACATGTACATCATAACAGGACCAGCAAAGTCCAAAAACCCACAATCTTCAACCAATAGTACCTTTTCTTTTGAAATCAGTAACAGATCATTCTGTGATATTGATTCTCCCTGTTCCAATTCACAAGGAAATTCTAGAAAATGAAAGTCATCTGACTCAGTGTAACTGTTTACCACCCCAAACTTCCAATCAGCCCCTGCAACCAACAAAATTTAAAAAAATAAATAAATAAATAAATAACTCTTCAGTGTTGAGTTAAAAGAGAGTGCTTTTGTCAAATTTCAAAACAAGAAAGACAATGCAGTACTCATTTTCTAATTTAACAAACAAAGAAAATCACAACTTAGAAAAAGCTTTGCTTTGGATAAACTTGTCCATAAAAACCAACACGAAGAAGAAAAAATCGAAATGGTCTTGCAAATAACCATGAGTATTCTAAGTCTAACTACCGGTTTATCTCATAAATTGAGATTAATCTGTGCATCTCAATTTGACAGAAACCGTCATTTAACTTTGCCATAAACCTCTATAATAAAGTCATAATGTCTTGTGAAAGAGTGAGAAATTGAATACTTATTTCAGTTGAAAACTTTTATAAGCTAGAAGCTAGCTTCATGAAAAGGAAAAAAAAAACATGTATTTATTTGATTACTAACTTGTGAGAGATCGTATAAATTTAAAGTTGCATATGGAGAAGTTGGAAAAACGTCAAGTTCAACTTATGCAAAAAGTTTCAACTTTTCTTCTCCTATAAGGCTTGTTGAGAGTTTATTCAAGTTGACTAATAGCCTTACTTGCTCTGATAGAAAAAGCAAAGACTTTGAGCGCTATGAAGCAGGGACACCGGAGACACAACACCAATGATAATTAGAAAAAATGAATAAATTGAACGAAATCTCAAGTGTAGCTGTTGGTTTCAGACACCGATACTGACACAGACACATCTTTTTTAGAGGTGTGGTGCTACAAGCTCGACAGTAATGAGGAATACCACCAGAAGTGTTGCCGAATTGCGGGCTATAGCATAGCAGAATTTTAAAAAACAGCTATTGTTCCATACTAAGCAATTAAGTAATAACTAGTATAGCAGCACTATATACTCTAATAAGGGTTTAAATAGTAAGCAGTAGAAGAAGAAAAATACCCTCTTCTCCTTGTTCTTCCTCTATCCCTCTGATGATTTGAGCTTTAGCTTCTTCAAAAATGAGAGGCTCATAGGTATTAATATAATCATCCACGTCTTTGTATTTATCTTTCACCTTCACGAGTTTGGAAGCTGAACTAGTTTTTCCATTATGTTCCTGTTTCTGAAAATACAAATATGAAAGATGAATTCGGGAGTGAAAAAAGCAAAAGAAAAAAATGAATACGTAATCACCTCATTGAGAAAAGTAACGCAATCCCAACTAAGAATAATCCGGTAGAAACGACGGATTACAGATTCCTCTTGAAGCTTATCCTTATCCAAAGCCATAAGAACAAGAGAAAGAGAGTATAAACCCTAGTACGAAGCAACTAACTGCAACTTCGCAACTTAACCACCACAACCTGCAACCGGCAGCCGCGTGCAATGCAAGGAATGGCTGGATGCTGCCAACGTGTAGAGAAGATAATGGCACGACGGCGGCGGCGTTTGTCGGAGGTGAAGAAGCCGGATTTGCTCACTTCACTGCGCCAGTGGGAGTAGGAACGTGATCGCCTGGCCGGTTTCTCAAAAATAAATAGGCTTCAAATTTTTAGGTTTAGGCTTTTATAAACTATTAAAGGTAAATATCTATACATACTTTTTGGTGAGAACATAACCGTTCAGTTTTTAGCGCAGTGGTTTATTTTATTTTTTTAATATAAATTTTAAATACTTTCAAAGAAAAAATATGTATATTTTTGCTGAAAATGTATCTCTGTAACATTTTAGTGCAGTGAACGAATATGCTTTATTTTATTTTATTTTATTAAGCTTTTCTCGTCCTATTTAAGGGTATAAACGAGAGAAAAATAAGTTAAATTGATAATCTAAATTAAATCAAATTGAAAAATTGAACCAATGATATAATTTTATTGTGAATCTTTTATTTCATTTGTCATTAAATCTAATTTTTTATGGATTCAATCATTTCCATCTTTATCTATGTTTCCTTCCATTTAAAAAAACTCACATATTTATTATTATTATTATTATTATTATTATTATTATTATTATTATTATTATTATTATCATTATTATTATTATTATTATTATTATTGTAAATTATTAATTGTGGTATTGAATTAGAGTTGGTGTAAAGAATTATAAAAAGGAGTAATAAAAATTCTAAATTCTAATATGATGTCACTTAAATATTACAATTTTAATATGATATCACATAAGAATTAGGGTTAGAGTTTTTTCTAAGATTGTCATCATGATAACCTTACAATTAGATTAAGTAGAAGTAGATTACATATCTTTAATATATTAAAACAGAAAACACACTTAAGTGTCAAAGTTTGAGTAAAATCCCGCCTGAACAGATTTTAATCATATTATTTTATTTTCTCTTTGTAATAAATATTATTTAATATATTAATTAATATTTAATATTAATTACTTGACCACTAATTTCTATATACTTCAACTATTCAATCAACAAAAATTTTAAAAAAAAATTATCACATGCAATATTTAACTATAATTTATCTCATGCATCGCACACGGTGAAAGTACTAGTGGTAATATTATAGTTGTAAGTGGCTCCCTCCATATAATTGAACTTTTCACCACGTGATTTCACTAAAAGTTTATGAGGTAATTTTTTTGCAAAACCATTTATCAAAATCATCACCCTCTATTTAAAGAAATAAAAGAGTTATATACTGTTATTCAATAAAAATACATCATTTAGTCATATCATATAATTTATTTGAAAATAACAGTATAATTTGGCATTTAACATGGTTGTGACAGATTGACGGTGTAAAATTATTTTATATTATCAGTATATATCATTTATTCTGCTATTTAAATATTTTTGTACCCGCAATTCTAAAAGAACTCATATTCTCATCACATTATTCTTCAACATTGTTGAATGAGGTTTTTGTTAGAATTTGTACCCACAAAGTTGGTGAAAAATAAGTAATTAAGTGTGGCGAGGGAGAGTGTGAGAGAATTAAATAGATTAATTAAGGATGAAAATATGCTCATATAACATTAATATTAATTATAGAATGATATCTCAAAGGTGTATATAAAAGTACAATAAATTGAGACGTAAGTAACAAATTGAAATAATAGAAAATTTGAAACTAACTGCTCGTAAATAGTTGAAATTCATTTTGGATTGGATGCATTATGTAAAACAACATGGATTTTATTCAAGCTAGCTCTGATGCATAAGGGACACATGTGAAACCCGATGTTCTAACATGTGTGTTGTAACATTCGGTCTCTTACAATATATATATATATGTTATTGCAGTTATTGTTATGAGTTATTTTATCCAAGATTCACTCTACAAAGAAGATCTACAAATTGATGCTGAAGAGTTAATTTGGATATACTGGTGCAACATGTGTGCAGTGCAACATATGGCCTTGATAATAGGCCATATGGATGTTGCTTGGTGCATAATTTCTAATTGGGAATTAATCAGATTCCCTGTAGTTATTTTAGCAATGTTTGTTTGATTTATTTGACAGTTGAAGATGTTCAAATCAAATTTAAATGGAGGTTTAAATTTGAATTTGAAATATAAAAAATCATATCTTTTTTGTTGGAGACAACTATGGAGAATATCAGGGATCAACAAAAATCAGCTCCCCCACAGACAGTAGCTAGTAGTCGCGTTAAAACTACCTCTTTCACATCCCATTACTCCCCCTTTTTGCCATAATTTTGAAAAGGTATTCCTTAGAAATATTGGTCAGTCACCACTAGATTTAATTATTTAATTGAGTATTTATGATTTATTGTGAGTTTATGTGATGCATGTGTGGTATGTTATGGATACTGAAGAACTAAGGTGCTAGTTAGAATTATTTGAATTTAAATAATTTTGTTATATTAATTATATTTAGTAATAATTAAATAGAATAAATAGTTGTAAGGGAGAATAAGGGTGTGGTGGTAATATATGATGACAAGTGAGGGTTTAAGTGGAATAATATAGAAAGATTCCAAGGGGTAAAAAGATAAAATAGGAGAATAGAGATCATTTTGTGCGATCGTAGAATTGGAAGAAACGCGAAGAAGAGGCTAGGGCTTAGAGGAGAAGTCTATAGAATACGAAGGAACAGATCGATCGATAGGAATTCGTGGTAAGGGGTGTAATCTTAGTTTTATTATGATTGATAAGGGGTTAAGGTAGATGTAGGTTCTGTCCTATGTGATTGATTGGATGAAATATATGATGAAATTGTTTATTTATGATGTATGTATGCCATGTTATGTGTCCAATATGATGTGATGAAGTATTTTGATGTTAATATGTGGTATGTGATGATTGTTATGCATTTTAGACTGATATTGGTACTATAATCGAAATTGAAATGTGGTTGGACGGTGCAAATTACAGTTTCGTAAGCAACGTCGGGTGAGCTTGGGGCGATCAGAGCGCTCCCAGCGTCTCCAGGAGAGACAAGCAGTAATGAAAATGGTGGAAAAGAAGAGCTCCTAGAAAATGTATCGGGAGGGGATCATCGCTCCAACACGGTTGCGCAAGCGAGGAAGCGATGGTCCCAATCGCGCCTTTCATCGGGCGAGCACCAAGCGAGCAGAGCGCTCCCAGGCCGCCGAGAGAGGCTTAGACGAGCAGACCTGACAATATTTTCAAAGTGTCATAACTTGAGTTTTAAGACTCTGTTTGACGCGTCGTTTGAAGCATTGGGAAGCTAACATACTGAACTATATTGTGATATAATTATATGGGTCATTTGATGCATGGTTCTAGTACCTATATGTTAATGAGATTGATTTATTATATGTTTGATATGTTATGATGTTCTATTTGTTTTAATGATGAATATGATGTTGTTATGAAGTGTTATGAAGTTGATATGATGTTGTTGTGATGTAATCAATGTGATCCATGATTATGTTTTGGTGATGAGTATGTTTAAATATGTAATACATGCTATGTGATGATTATGTGAATGGTGATGCACTTGAGTAGTTGTGGTCAAATTTATATCACGTTGTTGTGCATCATGCATTCATAGCATTTTTGGACAGTGGTCCACTTGTGACGAGCCTCAATCCCATTGTTGGGATTGAGTGTTGTTATACCCCAAAAATCCTCTCATTTATCAAGTAATCTCTCGCAAGATCTCCTTTGCTTCAAGACTGCATTAGGGTTGATCAGCTCAAGACACCTCCTCAAGCATTGATGACTGAAAATTAGGGTTTGAGATTGCACAAGGATAAATGGACTTTTAATGCCCCATATTACTTTCATGGATCATTTTGGACTCTCAAGATTGCTCATGTCAAGTTTCAAGTCTTGGATCACATTTTTGCTCAGTCAATTGATTAATTGACCTAAAAATCAACTATATTGGGGAAAAAGTCAACTGCGGTCAATTTACAGTCAAACTTCATAATTTTTTAATCCATATCAACATTATGAACTCATATATGTCATTTGATCAAGTTTGTACCATAATTCCTCAAGAAATTTGATCAGATCATCAAAAGGGCAAAATGGTCAAAATTAGGGTTTTGATTGAGGAAGTGCAATTTCTGATTTTTGACCTAACAAATGGTTGATTGGTTAGAGACTTGATCTCAAGGATTCAGTTGCATCATTTTGAACTAATGGCATGACTCAAAATTTCCCTCAAGATCAATGGTTTGACAGATGAATTTTCAGTCAACTGATCAAAAGTCAAATGTGCATTGAAAAGTCAAACTTTGACTTTTTGGTCAAAATCAAGTGTCAAAGATCACAATTCATCAAAACATGTCAAAATATGAAAAAATTTCACCAAGAAATCAAAAAGTCAAGATTTCATTTTGAAAAGTCAAAATTTCTAAACTTTGAAATTTTTCTAAGTGTTTGAAAATTCATATTTTTTCACAACTTTGAGTCAAATTTTCACCATGATGCAAGATGATTCAAAGGAAACTTTCAACACGAAAGTTGTAGATCTCAATGAGATATAAAACATTGTAGAACACAACTTCTCTTATAAATGCATGGATTTCAAGTTATGATTTTGTGAATACATGTTCATGAAACTTGGAAACTTAGTGAAATTTTGCCCTAGTTTAGGCAGGATTTTGACCTAACTTCATGGCAATTTTTCACATAGTTCCAAGAGGAATTCTAAAAAATTACCAACATAGAGGTTGTATAGGATGTTACAAGTTTTCCAAAAAATCCAAGAACTCATCGAGATCATGTTTGAGCTAAGATAATCGAAGAGATGAAGTTATGGTTTCATTCTTGATTTACAAGGCAAAATTTGTGATGAACACTTGACCAATCCATGCTAGG